AGATTGATTTTAATGCTTAGGCAATCATAATTTAAGTATCTACTAAAATTTGGATTTTATCTTTAGTTAAAGTTTCGTGAAACAGGGCCCTGAGCTGCACATGCGACACACAATAACGCCATACACGTGGGAGGGGTTCATTGTCAAATTTGACACTTCAAGGAAGGGTTGGTGAAAACTGCCGCGTGCTGGTTTATCTATTCATGTTTGCTTTCCTATCGGTTCTTGCATAAGATTTATTGTTTAGCGTATCTTTTCTTTAGTGTGTTACGTTTAATTTGATCCGGAGACGTGTTCGTCGACGTCAACGTCAACCGACAACACTGCACGAATTGGCCGTGGCACTGCAAGAGGAGTGGGTCAGATTGCACCAAATCGTGATTAGAAGTTGATTAGGAGCATGCCACGACGAATTGCTGAATGTCTGAGGATTGGTGGAGCAATAACTCATTATTCATTATTAAAATCAAAAACGTCCATTTTCACTTTTGACGGTGTATCTCTTTGCGAGTGAAATAGGGCCGTCAGATAAGCCGCCCATATGACCTGTTTATGTTCATGTGTGGGCAATTGGCCTGTTATTAACATACACTGGTTACCTCTAATAAAAACAGCAGTGCATTTCCGCAGTTTTGTATTGTTTCTGAATATCCCCTACTTTTTTTTGAAGAGTATAATATATTCAATTTAACAGAGATGAATATGTTTTGTTTAATATTGAAAATATGATTTTACAGGTAGGCCTATTACTCGAATTTGGTAAGAGTTGGAAATTTAACACGGAAAATCATTAGTCGGGGGTGGGGGTAAACTCCATTTCATTTTCATTTCGGTTCATCTTGTCACCCCTATGCTGAATATCGATAGGTTTCATCCTCTCATGATCACAATGCTTAAATTGTCACCAAATTTTTTAAAAAATACATCAGCTGCCAAAGGCTGTATCTTCTATCGCGTTGACAAGTCAATATTGGTGAGGTACGGATGTAATACGTCCATACTGAAATGTCGGACTATACAAATCCGAATTGTTTGAAATAAGGATTTTACCGTTTTGGGAGAAAGAATGCAAATCATTTATCTAACGATTGAAATATCTTATTATCACATCTTTCGATCCCGGTGTTCGTCGAGAAAATACGCCAGAGTTTTCCAGACGAAAAACTATAATTCCTTGTACACTTTGATGTGCACGTAAAAGAACCCCTGGCTAATTTAAGTACCATGTCGTGTACATTTTTTGTCGTGGTTGTTTCAGTCTTTCCATTACTTACTTTTTGATCGCGAGAATGAAAAAAGATAATCATTTGCATAAAGGTTCTGAAGATAAAAGATAAATCACATTTTAAAGTAGCTAAGTCTCTAACGCAATATCATCCAAAGTCTTACACGTTGAAAACACGAATTATTTGTCAATTCAAATCAACATTAATGTTGTGATCTTACCAGGAAAAGGTCGGCTTCTGGTATCCAATATTTAAGACAAAATAAACATTTTACCATTGGTACACGAATCGTTTACCATAGTGCGTTTCAGCGTCATTTGTAACAAGTGACCAGGAAGAACGAGGCTAGACATATTCCACAACTCATGTCAAGCGGTGACGCCATATCTTATCTGGAGAGCATGCACAATAGACTGGAATAATCAGACGCTAAAATTTGCCAGTCGGTTGAGACTCATGCCGTATTTCGCTGGACATAACTGATTTGAAATTAGAGTCAAAACGGAAACAATTGAATGTAAATCAGTTTATATACAATCAGATTACATTATTATATGCTTTGCGACCCATTTGGGTCAATTTCTAGATCCCAAATATTAGCGATTTAGCTTCTTTAATGAGTGAGTATACGACCGAGAAAAATACAAAATCAATACTGCCTCCTCGGCCTTCCGTAGTATGATCGGTCATTATAATGCCCGAAAGATCAAGACTACGTTTCCGTTAAAATGGCTTCCACGTGTTGATGAAATTATGTTGTAACAATAAAACGAAGTATATGTAGTGGGGAATAAGTCAATATGTCGATATATCATGATGAAATAGAAATAGAAGATATGGAATATGACGAGGAAACAGAAACGTACTATTATCCGTGTCCATGTGGAGATAAATTTGAAATATCAAAGGTACAATAATGTCTACTTTTACTTTTCACTGTTTCCAGTACTGTGAGTGTTCAGTCTCTGTTTTTTGAGAAATTTATACGCTCACATTTTCCTGTGGACATATCATGTCGTCCCCCCTATGTGTTTGTGGACACTCTACAGATTACAAATTTTATCCGATTTTGACGAAACTTAAAATATATGTATATAATATATCCTATATTATTCAAGAGACAAGCCATATTGACATCACCTCGGACCATAACTAACTTCATGGATTATTTCCCCAGATTGTACGAAAAAATCGCTGTATTTGACAAAATGAGGTTTATATCATGTATATTAAATGTAAGTTATTTTTAATACACCTACAGACTGGAGAATATTGATATTATAACTACATATTATAATTTATAATTTCGCCTCTTAACAAAAACCAGAAAACACTAACACATATCTCCGATATTGAAGAGTCTTCATTGGCTACCAGTTAGTGAACGAATAAAATTCAAAATCCTACTCATAACCTTCAAAGCCTTAAATGACAAAGCTCCTGAATACATAAAAGACCTTCTCATTACGCATGGTCCCACTAGAAACTTACGATCAACGAATAAAAATCTATTGACGGCCCCAGCTGTCAATCTTGAGATAGACCGCCGTTCATTCGCATACTCGGCCCCTTTTCTATGGAATTCATTACCCTTGTCAGTTAGGCTGGCCAAGTCTGTAGAAAGCTTTAAATCTCAGCTTAAAACTCATCTTTTCAACCAGGCTTATTCTTGTCAGTAGTGAATGACTTTGTTCAGACATGAAAAAGCACAATAGAAACTGCCATAAATTATTTTTGCGCTATACAAATTGAGACTTATTATTATTATTATATAAGTTGAATCACAGAATTCCCAAACTGTTTATTCATTCATTAAGAACTTTGCACTGCAGTGATTTTCAGTGTGAAGGGTTAAAGGACACTAATTTTAAAACTGAACCGTTGTCAGCATGTATATGACATCTTATATGTTAATGGTAAATCTTAAATCAGTATTTCAAATTCGATGTGAAATTTGGACAATGGGAGGATAAGCCTGATCAGTTATTCAAGATTTCTTTTCATCTCTTGTAAAATGTGGGCATATTTTGCATGGCTTTGCATGGCAAATGAATAGTCCACATTATTTGTTTTTTTATAATTTTCTCAAATACTGAAGCATTGTGGATGTGTATTTTCATCACTCATTGATGTCAGTGGCCCGTCAACACTTACGTACAAATGCCTTATTACCGCGACAGTTATCTATACTTTTTTAATGGAAGTTGGTATGTCATGATAAGTAAAAAAACTCATTTTCTCTTTTAGGAAGAATTAGAAGATGGTGAAGATGTAGCTAAATGTCCCAGTTGTTCTTTATTAATAAAAGTTATTTATGATCCTGTAAGTCGGCATATTATTTATTTCTTTATAGGTGTATGTAGGCACAGATATCACTATTAGCTACAAGTAATTTTTCGACTGACAGGTTTTTAACGTGTTCTTCCTCAAGAAAGTCTACTGTTCTACACTGACTAGGCTAATGAAGACGGGAATACGCTGTAGAGTGTGCTATGTATGATGAAAATTTTGCCCAAACAACAGCACTACAGCCTACCTTTATATCAAATTCCAACAGCAAAGTTTTTTTTTAAGTGCACGTCAATATGTACACAGGACCTCGGTTTTTAATCCCATCCGAACGACTATACATTATCCCTTGTTTTGCACCACTGACCTTTCCAGGCCAACACGGCATAATTAGATCTTCTGGTAAAGTCTGTAAGTGTGCCTGATTAGTGGATGAACGTTTGTTTAGTGATTAGACACAATTAGAGCTTCTTAGGTGTGACATCTTGCTTATTAGCATATATGTGTCATTAAGTTTAGACTAACTTGTGGATGATGCCTGTGATGTAGGTAGGTTAACTCATGAAGTAGAGCCTACAATACTTCACTTATTGCAAAAATCTGAACACCCCTTTCACAAAAAGCATATTAATTGTTTTTGTTTTACTAAAGTGAATGCGAAATAGTTTTTAGATAGGCCTACTGTGAATTTTTGACGTTATTCCTTTCCTTCATTTAATTACAGGAAGATTTTGCTGGTGATGAAGAAACTGTGACTGTAACTAAAACAGAACTGGCTCTAGCTTAAATCTATAGTATATTTGTGTTCATTTTATTTAATCAAGGTTAGTGGAACTTTTATACTTTCATCTATAAAAATATATACTTGTCTAAAAAATGATAATAATAAAAATAATGAATATTTATATTGCACGCATTCCATCCAAACAGTATCTTTAGCTCTTTATATTGTAATTGTAAAGAGATCTCAATTATTAGGAATTCTTTCTGTGTAATCAATTAAATTACAATTAGTTGAAAGGAGATACCAGTACATCTGATTACTTTTGTTATTGGTTACAGCTGATTAAAGATTACGATTACCCCAGGTCTGGATGATATGCTATGTTATTCTGAGTAGTGAAATTATACTTTTCTATACTGACTGGGCTTATGAAGACAGGATTACATCAAACCGTGTGCTATAAGGTACAGCAGCACTACAACCCACACTTATTTCAAGGTCCAGCGCGTCAATATGTACACAGGACATTGGTTTTTCGTCCCATCCGAATGACTAGATGTTGTCCTTGTCATGCCCTCTGTCCTGCATCACTGCCAAGGGGAAACTGTGCCAGAAAATCCTGAGAAACTTTCTTGGCCAACGTCAGGAGTGAACCCAAGACCTTCTGGTTAGCTAGCCAGCATCTTTATCACTGAGCCACCTCATATGTTATTGTAAATAAAATTGAATATATTTATGTTACTAGTTCAATTATCTTTTAGACTTACAAGATGAGTGAAGAATATATAAATATATCGGATGGGGAGGAAGAAATGAGACAACTGTTTCAAGAGAGTTGTGTTCGTAGTAATAAAAACGCTGTGTCTGGCCGTGATACAAACCAAGACAGTATCACACCAGCAGACAATGGTGCTAATAATAGTAATGTGTCCTCACAAAGTGAAAGTAAGAAAAAGACTCCTAGAAAGAGTGCAAACTCGAGACAGAGATCAAGTTCTAGTACAAGTAAGGGAGAAGGATCAAGTAGATCAAGTAGTTCGCGAAAGGGGAGACAATCCAAGACCCCATCAGGATCTCGACATGGAAGAGATAGTCGTGGAGAGGTATTTGTCATAAATTTTATGTTTATTTTCAGTAAATAGAAGATTCTAAAGTTTGGAATAAATATTTTATGTGTCTTCAAAAAAATTATCTCCCTTTAACTGTATAACGTGAGAAAGAAATTGTTACAAAATTCTTATTGCTCCCATTGTAAAATTGTTCTTACCCCCTAAAGAAACTGTAGATAGCTAATATTAGTATTTAATGGACTTTCATTAGGCTGGTTTGAAATGCAAATAAAACAGTTTAGGTTTATTTCTTTGCAGTTCTAAGAAATGGACTTTAATTATAGTCAATACCTTATACCTACCTCCAAACATGCAAATTTTATCACATTCTGTAGGATAGACGAATGTGTTATTTACCCTAGCCTGTTATCAACCAGGTGGCTGTAGATTTCCAACATATTTCCAAGTTTCCATTTGCTTGAAATTTTACGGTTTTAACAACATTTTGACATATCATCTATACGTTTCCAGTTGCTTGAAAGTTTATGGTTTTAACAATTTTTTTTAATTCATTTTCTGTTGTGTGAAATTTTTTTTCCAATTATTTTGAAACAGGGTGAATACAGTACATCACCATGTAAAGATTCCCTACCAACTTTTACCAGTGATATACATGTAACAGATAACAGTTTTAAACTTAGTTTACTTGATGAGGTGTTAACAGAGAAAAAAATGGTAAGTCTTAAATATTAGATTAATTCTTCAGTAGCATTTAGAATTCAAGCACATTAAGTGGAATGAAATGAGTTTAACGTCCTACTCTTCTGCACCAATGACGGAGCTAATGAAGACCGGCATACGACATACAGTGTGCTATGAGAGAAATTTTGCCCGGACAGCGGCCAATGTGTACGTGGGATCTCAGATTTTCATCCCATCGCAGTGAACCAGTGATGAGGGGGAACCACGTCCGAAAATCCTAATGAACTTTCTCGGTCAACACAGAGATCGAAGACATGACCTCCAGGTCAGCGAGCCAACTTCTTACTCACTGCACCTATTCAACCTCATAGGTTTTCTCTGAGTACAGACACCCAATCTTGCTAGAAAATACTGGATTACCCCAAAAACACCCATGGGGCAAGCACTGGACAAAAATGTCAGGATATCACTAACTGGCAACCCAACTGTTGTCTGCCAGCTTATTGTGTGTTAGCTAGCGTTTTTTGGGAAATTGATGTGTGTCAACGTACAAAAGACTCTGCAATTAAACAGCAGAAAAAGTTCACAGAAAATAATAAAGAATTTACTTAGGCCTCAACATGTATAATAAATGGACAGTAAGTAATGAAAAATACATTCTGAAAAATGGACCCTCCCACTATGAATTGAGTTGACAGAAATGTCCAACAACAGTGTATTTATAGCTTGAGGTATCTGCCCGTGAAAAAAAAGTTTAGAGAGGGATTTGAAGCAAATTTTTGATAAATTAATTAGTTTGAACATGTTTTTAGTCCAGGGGGATCACGTGGCTAAGTGGGTAAGACGCTGGCTCGCTAGCCTGGAGGTTGGTTGTTCGATCCCTGCATCGGCCGAGAAAGTTCATCCAAATTTTCCGGCGTGGTTCCCCCTTGTCAGTGATGCAGGATGGAGGGCCTGACAAGGACAGCCGTCTATTCCTTCGGATAGTCCAAATATATCATCAAATCACACAGTTTGTACACTGGAAATTATCTTTAAACCTCTGGCCAGTTAATACTGCACTATTTAGCACAGTATGGGCATCAATTTTCAACTATTGTCGAATATAACTATACGAGTCATGGGTACACCCACAGATTATGAAATTTTCAAATTCTTCAGGTTAGATTTGTCTTTTTAAATTCAAATTAGTCAATTCTTAATAAGACCTGAACAAAAATTGAAAAAAGGCACACATGTATTTTTCAATGCTTGGCAAATTCTATTTTAATAATTTGTTGGTGTTTTTTTGTTTTAATTCAGGCACTGATGAAATCACCTGAGGTTGTTAAGTTTTTAAAAGAGCAACAATCTGGTATGTTAGCAACAAGTAAACAGAAATATGAACCGAGTGGATCCTGACATAATCATATTCTTATAATTTCATTTGTAAACATTTTAATATTTGAGAATTTGTATATAAATTCCTGTCATTAATATATATACAGACTCAAGTGGAATATGTGGATTTCAGCTTTACTAAGTAATCATTTAGCCAGTTGAGGATAATTGGCAAAATGTAATGCAATAAACTGAATTGTTAAACATACATTATACAAGAGCTAAATCTGCCTATTGCAGGTCTTTCTTTAGATCTGAAATGTTATATAAACTATTAAATAGACATTTATTAACATGAAAAGCCAGTAATCAGCTTTCTATACCATCGGATATCTCCTATGTTAAGTATATTAGAACAGTTCAGCCATATTTTGATTTAATTCAAAAATGGAGAAGCAAGGCTTAGCTTCGAAGAACAACTAGTACGGTGGTTGCAATTAATGCACACATCTTGTTAAACCTTCAAAGGCTAATATCTTCGCTCGCAATAGAGTAATTTGGATGAAAGTGAAATATTTTGTTACCACACATTACTTAATGTAATATTCACTACAATCACTGATAAGGATGACATCGATGCGACTTAATGAGCCACAAATACTTTTTTCCTCCGACAAATTAAATTCTAAAACATTTTTTTTTTTATGTATTAGAAAAATAAATAAAGACGCTTGACGTATTTGTAGGTAAAAATTATTTCCTATTTAGTGTAAATGGGTATTAAAATGAGTAAAAGGCGCCATTCGCCCGAACCAGTAAGGTCTTATGTAAACAATGCACGCGCCAATGATTGATGCTGCGTGATGAGAAGTCACGTGTTGAAGGTAGTCATCTTTTACAGAGATATTAGATGACTTTCGTAATCCTCCGTGAAACAGATTGCCCTTTATGATGCAGTTAACATTGATGTTGTATGGGTTTTTTATTCACTGTATCTGTATTAAATTAAATGTATGTTGTCAATACAATGTTTTTTTCATCTTTGTATATTTGACATGTGTACATCGTTTTCAAGGGAAGTAACTCTACATAACGAACATATTCTTTAATCTGACATTTCAACAAATTTTGTAGGAATCTAAATTCAGTGTATAATGTAGCAGGCTTGTTTTGTTTTTAAAATCTTTTATCAGATAAATAAGTTCAATGGATGAATTCAACAAAAGTCGGTGGTTCGAACAGTTATTTGTCTTATCAGATGGTCAACTTGCTATTTGTCATTCTGAATAACTTCCAGCAGAGAGGCTCTTTTCACATTTTAATGAGCAAGACAAAAGTCACTTATATGGGCTGGTGGTCAACTGCTGGAAAGTATATGTAAATGTCTAACTGGTGACTGATGCAATCATTCATTTTTCGGTAGCATCAAATTTGACAGGGTGGTTTTAAACTTTTGTTCATAACCGTTTGATCACAAACCTTCCTCTCTAACCCTTGCACCACATCCCCCACTCTGTAGGGTCTAGTGATCACTTAACTAGGTTAAATGGGATTAGTTTTAATCAAACGAAACACTGATGAGTATGGTTATTTTAGTAATTCTCTTGCATTTAGGGGTTTTTAGCAGTGCAAGGAATCAAGAGAAAATACCTTGTCACGTACAAGCCAGAGATCGAAACTAGACAATTGGCCAGGTTGACTCGTATTGGACCACTCGGCCAATAATTCGCCCCATAAATACATTGTCGATAGTTAGGTCTATAGGCAATCCAAAAATCATATTCAGTGAATTCTAATCAAGTTAGGCTAAGGGATTATGAAGAAATGAAATGGGGTTTAACATCCTACTTTTCTGAGCTAACAAGGCTAATGAATGGAAATGTTGCCCAGACAGTGGCACTTTGACCTACTCTTAATCAAATTCCAACTGCTAAGGAAGGGATCTTTTGTGTACACGCCATTGTATACCTTTGTTTTTGATCTCATCCAAACAACCATACTTGTCCCTTGCCAGGCTTTTTGTCCTCCACTGATGAACTTTCTTGGCCAACACTGGCAATCCAACACTTTGTCATCCTGATGAACTTTCTTGGCCAAAACTGAGGATCCAACACTGGACATCCAGGTTAACGAGCCAGTGTCTTACGGAATCACTGCGCCTCCTAGGTTCATGAAGACTAAGTTTGACTTTGAATGTGGCAACACAGTGAGTATAACACAGTGAGTATAAACACAAGTATGTACCTGATGGACACAAAAAATTTTTTAAATGATAAAATAAACAAGTTTATATTTGTTTGAAAGAACACCTTTAATCCACTTGCATACATTTTCCTTCACATAAACATATAAGAAATCGCAGATGACTCCTCCAAAAATAGTAATATGTATATATATGAATACTTGTGTATATTTTTTTGCTACTCCTTAAGATTGGCATTGGCTACAATAAAATGTTAGTAAATGCATTCAGTTTTCAGTAGAATGGGTTAAAATAAAACTCAATTTCATCGTTACTGTTTTGCTCCTTTTAGTAGGTGTAATTAATCCAACAATTGAGAATTATCAATAATGGAGGTAGATTAAGAGAGACTTAAAACATTGTATCACTTCTTTATAATAAAATAGGTTGTCGAAACAGAGATCAATAAATGATTTGGGAGTTTTTTTTAATATTACATTCAGAAATCAAATTACATTCAATCTCGTTGTCTTACGTCACTACATGTTTATCCGAAATAGAATGTGAATATGCAAGACTAAGTGCACGGTTTGCGTTGACTCGGGAAAGACGTTTTTTTTTTAGCTCTTGTTCAAATTGATCAATAATTATTAAGTTTATCAAGTTTTTCGAAAAAACAATTTTTTATATTAAAATAACATCTTTAATTGTATTTATCAAATATTTTTTCAGACTCCTTTAGAACTGTGTGCTATAAATGGTCCGCAGTCCTACACAGTGACATGCAAAATATCTCTAGAAGAAATACTTAAAAACATTAAATTTGAACAATATGGATAGTTATTATGACCTCTATAGTGTCCAGTCTGCGAATCAAAAAATAAACATCATACAACCCAATTTGCGCGTAGATTTATAAATAATTAGCTGCAACCATCTACCAGTTTTCTTTTCAATTGTTGCATAATTTCAAATGAACATCTGATTTTTCAAATTTCTTTTTGAATGGGTTATTTGATCACTATGATTATTACACATAATAATACCCACTCTACTGACAACCTGCAGATTGAACAGCCTAGTATCAAATGATATGATATCAAGTAAAATAATATCACAGTTTGGCATCTGAAAAAAAGTTGAGATCAGAAAGATAATAAAATAGAAGTATTCGCTTTATCTTAAAATTCCTAGTTTCAGAAACCATTCTATATTGGTAAAGTTAATAACAATGGTTAATAATAATAATATAATAGCACTAGTATTCGTAAATTTCTGGGAATAACATAAAGCCTTTAAATAAATATATCAATCTTTAAAAAAATAAGTAAACATCAAGGAGAGAAATCATAACAATAATACTGTTTAGTAATATAAAAGACAAATATTTTTTTTTGATAGAATTGAAAATGCAATTATTGCTGTAAATTTTCCAGTAAATTATTTTCAACTGTTAAAATGTTATGTACTTTGATTATAGTAAATTTATTCTCCGCTAAATTATATTGTGTTTTTGATAAATTATATTTTCCATTGGATAAATTGTATATTTTTTTTTGTTACTTCAACATAAAATTATGTTCTCATATGGAAGACAGTAAAACAAACATTTGAATGAAATGTCATTAATAAATAAGCACTATGCTAGGATTAATTGGTTTCAAATTGTGGCAAAATGTGTAATAGGTCAAAAGATCAAATTTGCCAACCACAGTAGTATTCAGTATAAATTTGCATATTATGAGCATAAAAAATATGTATCACAATACATAAATATAAAGATATAAAATAGTATAATAATCCATTCTATAAACCAATTAAAATTAGAAACTGAATCATAAGACCAGTTTTAAGTCATAGATGTAAAAAGTGGATAACTTTGCCAATCTTAAGGAGTGGAATATATGTCAAATCAGTGTATAAAATAAGTCGGAACATTGATTCAACACATTTCAGTAATAATTGTATATTCAATGCAAATGTGATTTTTAACATTTCAACGAAAAACTAAGGAATGGCAAAAAATAAAAAATAGAAAGCACATGCTTTGCTCTTTTTTCTTTTTTAAATGTTATAACAAATTTTAATATTATTAAACTGTAACTTTTAACAAGAAAAAAAAATTCTCAACATTTCAAAAATAAAAGTCAAAATTAACTGTTAATGGAAAGGAAATAAAGAATCTCATCAAGTCCTCAGTTTTTTGCTAAAGATATAAACTGCTTTAGAAGGAAGTTCCCAACCCAAGATAATATAACTGGAATAAGACGGTTATAAAGTGGCTAATTAATTTATAACATTGCTGATCATATTTAATCAAATAATAGTAGTAAATGAGGGTTGAAATAAATCAAAAGGAAAAAAAAAAATATTAGCTAAATATATATATATATAAAGGAAAAATAACATTGCAAAACATCAAATTAAATATATATATATAATTGTATATGAAAAGTAATTAAGAGTAAAGAATTTCAAAAATAATACATAATAATACCAAGTAAAAAGAAAGGTCGGCTAAGAGGCCTTGTTAAACTGTTAATAATAATAAACTATATTTTCAACTTGGCTAAATACTGGAAGCAAAGGGTATTTTTCCCCTCTGTAAGTTGTTATAAACTAAGGACCTAAAGTGACAAAACATCACAAACTAAGCCAATTAAAAACAACTACAAATAATAAAGAGAGAAATATTAAACTAAAAGCTGATTAAAGATGGATAAATTATATAAACCGAAAAGATGGAAAAAAAGAAATCCCTGTCTCGATATACACTTAATATAGAATAAAATTGATGCATATCTTCTGGTTATACTTGTAACAAACATAGTTTGTATTCTTGGTGATTAAGTGAAGAATATAAGCTATGTCTATAGGCGCATCATCATTACCCTTTGTTTATGCTCATTTCTTGGAAGCTAGCCTCCCCCATGCTTTATACATTATACTCAGATTTGTAAAAGGGAAGAAGAGATATGATATAAGAATTTAACAGAATCAAAATTTTAAACATCAAATGCAAAATGTTCAAAACTAGGAGGAATTTAAGAGGAAAAATATTAATAAAAACCATCAAAAAATCAAAACTTTTTTTTTGGGGGGGGGGGGGTGTTAAGGGGAAGGGGACATTATATATATTATATAGTTATATTATGATTTAAATTCAAACTGGAATAATTGAAAGAACATGAACACCATTAAACATTTTAACTAATAATGAAAAAGCTCGTTGTGAAATTTAAAACCCAGACAATCATAATAGGAAAAGTCCAAAAAAATCTGAAATCGCAGGTTAAACACGAAGAGAGAACATGCTCAAAAGGGAGCAACATTCTCAAAAAATCGCAAACTGCAGTCCAAAAATTAGTTTGATAAAATATATTTCTGGAATACCTTTGAAAAACCAAATATTCACATGTGTTATCAATCGCCCTAAGGTTTAATAATGATATAATTATATGGCAAAAACCAATATGAAAAATTAACACGAAAACAATTAACAATATATATATATATATATACTTTTGATTAGATACATATGCTAATATAAGTATGGTGGGTAAAATCTATGTAATGGTCTTGTATACAAAAATCGGCATGAGCAATTTTAGCATCTACATGTATGTATATAATATATATATATATATAACTTGGTTTACAATTTAAAAAAATGTAAATATCTAACATAACATGTAATATTAACATCTTAAAAAAATATCAATCTATCAATTTGTAAAGCTTCTTACACTATGAACACCAAACAAAATAAAATAAATCAATATTTTAAATTAATAATCAAAAAAATAATTAGTTAATTAATAAATGAAAAAAAAAAATCCTTAATTTCTTTTATTGGTTAAAAAAAAATTTGTTAAAAAAAAAAAATTGGGAAAATAATTAATAATCCCATTAAGGCACGAACAGGACAAAAAAAAAAGAAGTCATGTCTTGACTGAGTATATATGACTAGAAAATAAGCAATTTGCATATTATAATTGTATTTGTATATGACAAAATAGATGTATAAGGGCAAAACGAGACCAAGATTACAATTTTAACAATTGCTACCATGTCTCATCTAAACAGAAAAAAACATGGCAAAATATATTATTTTTTAAAATGTGACTAATACTATTGATTGCTTACCACTATATAATTCTTTTTTTTTCTTTTTTTTATATAAATTATTCAAAAAATTAATACAATATAAATCATCCATTTCAGGAATATAATTTTGGACTGCTACACAAAAAAACATAAAACAAAAACTGTAAATATAAACTAAATATAAGATGGGTGTTAGTGATAAAGATTTCTATAACCCCAATCAGATAACATAGTAAATATAGATATAATATATTTATTTATATATATATATATAGTATATATAATATAAATTGGCACATTGTTTAAGTAATATATAAAGTATTTAAAACCAGCACATGATGATTATTCTTGGCAAGTGTGACAACATAGCCCTCTGATGTGATCTTCAAACCACAACATCTACTAACTTTAACATAAGGACATTGAAATTCACCAATTAGTGAGCCATCTCTCTGAAATACGCCAACATGGAAACGATTTCCGTGGCTATCTCCAATCAAAACATCTCCTGCATCACTGATATCTATGCCATTTGGGTAGTTGGTAATGTTTTCACAACCAATCCTTCGCAGAAACTGCCCCTCTTCGCTAAAGACAACAACGCAATGTCCCTGAAAAATAATTACCAATTTTCAAATTAATTCTTTTGTGCCGTCAAATAGAGAATAATATTTGTCACTGCACAACTGACCAGTGCAATCACTTTGATTTGAATTTAACTGTACTTAACCACTAAAAGCCATTTTGAGATAATTGATATCTGACATACTAAAGGGGAGAATTTTGCCTGAACAGCAACATGTCATCCCTAATGTTTTCTATCTAACCATGACTATTAGTCCTACCTTAAAGTCACAAACAAAATATTCTGTGCCGCTGACAGCTATGTCTGATGGTTCTCTCATATAGTCACTACAATCAAACCATTTAATAAGGTCACCTGATTCTCCAATACAAAATACTGTTGGTGATACACTATCAACAGCCACAATATTACCTACAAAACATCACAATATAAGTTCAAAATTCAATTAGCTACTCCTATGCAAATCTCTGTATTTAATAATTACTGCAATTCAATTCAATCAACCACACATGTAAACACCACACACCCAATTCTAAAATGATATGACTTTTTTTTTGGGGGGGGGGGGGGGGGGGGGGTTGGTTACATATCAATTACATAAGTACTCTAGAGTATAAAGTTTTCCTACCTTGGGAAGTAATAGCTAATCCTGCTACAATATCAATATATCGTATAGCTATCTTCTTTACGAAATGACCATTTCTAGTAAATATCTGCATTCGAGATCTTTCATTACCGCGATCACATACAACATATTTACCAGATGACCTCATCACAGCTATTTTACGTGGATACCATAGCTGACCTTCTTCACGACCTAAAATAAACAGTGCCTGGTATGAATTGTTGATAAAACCTGAGACATTAATTAAATTATAAAAACAGCAGTTAGGATCATGTCTTTTATATGCTAGAGTAAGAGAGGGGGTTTAACATCCACTTGACACAAACTAGGTCCTTTAGGGACTAGCATATCGTTCAATAATTCGTTGCGCATAGGTCTTTAGCAGTGGGAGGAAACCAGAGTTCCTTGAGAAAGCATACAAGGTTGGACAGACGAACCTACTCCTTGTCACGTACAATCAGGGAATTGATACCATGCCACTTGACTCAATGACACACCTTATGATTCAACACGCACTTTCAACCTATCAGCCACCCTTTTTATATTCTAGCAACATATTGATAAAAATGTTCTGTATTTCTGCAGCAGTCAGGCTAACGATGACAGGCATATGCTATGAAGTGTACTATAAGGGTTCTTTTACATGCACACCAACATGTACATGAGAACTTGATTTTCCGTACCATCCAAATAACTAGACGATGTTCCTTGCCAGGCCTCCACTGACAAGGCGAAACCCTGTGTGAAATCCTGAGCAACTTTCTTGACCAAAACTGGGAGTGAAATAGACCAGGCCTTGAGTTCAAAGTATTCTCAAGACTTCAGAATTTACTCAAAATTTTTCGCCTTATTTTAACTAAACTATAGCCCTTTGTCAAACTCTTGACTCATGTCTGGAAATACTTTGCAAACGTAGAGCCTGGTTAACAAACAAGCACCTTACTGAGCCAGGACATGTTCAAAGAATATTTTATTAAATATTTACCTGGAATACCAAACTGGTATTTAAAATCTCCAGTCTTATCAAATACTTGTATTCTATGATTGTTGGTATCAGCTACAATAATATCTTCTTCAATACCCAGGCAAAATCCATGTGGTGAGTTAAACTGGCCCTTACCTGGACCTAGTTGACCAAATTTACACCTGTAAATAACATTCATCAAAATTATAACAAATCTAATTATCTGACAAGTTACCCCAACCGAAACTAATTATCTGAGACTGATAAGTCACCCAAACTGGAACTAATTATCTGACAAGTTACACTAACTGAAACTAATTATCTGACAAGTTACCCCAACTGAAACTAATTATCTGCAACATTATATCATGCACCATATAAATCATATCAATAGAATAGACTAAATCTTATTTTTAGGACGGCCTCAGAGTAAGCACTTATATAGAGCTGTTAATGAAAGCTTAATTCAGTTAATGTCTTCAGATTGAGACATAAATGACATAATATTATTCTGTACGGGCAAAGAGCAAACCACACCAAACTGTTGTCACATATCTGTGTAATTTAACTTTTTGTAAACTGACCTATTTTGAAGATTACAATTAATTTCTATATTTTGAACACGTTTGTCCGTTAATAAAACGGTTACTTTAACCTGTATTTAAATGGTGTGATAAATTACCTTATCTGCATGGAGCTCATCTGATCTCCACGTCTAATAGGCGGGTATGTGAAGGTATTACCAATAGTCGGGGTTGTGATACCAGCTGAAAAATAGAATGAGACTTTTTTATCTGATCAACTTCAATGATTGCAAAGATTTTAGTTTCCTGAATGACCAGGAAGAAAAAGCCAAGGGTCAGATACTTGAAGAAAAAGTTAATATGAAAATTTTGAATAGCAGTTTCCTATCAAAATCTGTTACCTTGTATTTTGTCTTTATATAAAACAATTAACAGGCTTATTAGTTACCTACCTATATCTCTGGAACCACCAGCTGCACCGGTGATCATATTGTCCATTCCTGGTCCACCACCACTCACGCTTATACTTCTCATATTATCAATAATTTTACTGAATGATGTGGTATGTGGGTTAAATAAGCTTGCCAAATTATCTAAGTTTGTGTTTTCAGCTCGTTCAGCTATTGATGGTAAACTAGCCATACTGGTGGGAGACATCTCATTGTGTGAAAGAGGTGTTTGTGTTCTACTACTACCATCAGATGATGTGGAACCAGTATTAGTGTTCATTCCACCAGATAGACCTGATAACATGTGGCCACCCAATGATACTTGGCCTAAATTTAAACAAAAAATTAATGAAAATATAATGGCGTCACAAAGTAACAGCATAAGACCTACATGTAGAGTCACCACATAGCAAATGAAAGAAGTGTCATTTTCAGTATTCCGAAAATATGAAATTTTCTACAGCTTCGCCGACAAGATATTCTCAATTTTCTTCAAATATTTGGGAGGATACAAAGCAGGAACAAGCCAACAGTGAGGCTGATGTCCCCCGCCGAAATAGGAAAATAATTAGAGGACACATATAAATTTATCACAAATTATCTTTTACAAAGTATTGAACAATCAAACAGTATATCTTTACTTATAGTCTAAGCAAACAATGTTTTTGATGGAATAATTATAGCATATTAAGGGGAAAACATGCTCTATGCCTACAGATCTAGAGTTTGGTTGTATCAACGGGTCTATTTTCCATCTTGCTGCAAGTTGTGCAAAGTTCACTGTTTTCTTTCTGTCATTAAATGTCAATTCATTATTGCATACTACATATTTAATTAATTTATAAGTTTCTTTTTCAATTTGTTTTTTCCATTTATTTGTTTATTTACCTTGCCTATATTCATTGTATTGGATTGTATTGGAATTGCTCAATTGATGCTTTTATCAATACCTGGTTATAATATTATGACATGTAATGTGGCAAGTTGAGTCGGGACATGTAGGCTATAAGGTAACCTAAATGTATACATAAGTGGATTTCGTTTCATTTTTTTCGAAAATATTGTACAGATAAAAGAGGAGGAATTACAGGGGTAATACATTGGAAAGCTTCTTCAAGAACTAAAGCATAAACTATATAAACGAGCTTATAAAAAGGAAAAGTTTGTATAAAGACGTTTCGTTTGCACAACTGGGTGATGATAAATCACGTTTTGTCTTTCTAGCAGACGACACCGTTTTACGGCGAAAGCACGCGCTCTATTTGTGACGCTTAATTTATTTTATTATTCACTCGACGTCATCACTTAGTAGACTTACTATTTTTAATATGTTGTCTTCGGTATAAAGCTGTTTATGCACAAAACCAAATACTATGACATAGAATATTTTGTTTCATGGTTTATCGGCATTCTATTTGTCACTCATTCTATCGCTATTTATAGAATAGGCTACCTTTGTTACACAACTACGGTACCAATTGTATCTATTAATAAACTGCTCCCACTCCCAGGCTACAATTTGTACATGCTGTGTCTGCTAACAGGTATTTCCTAGATATCAACGGTCAAATTTCCCCGAATATTATTTTACATTTCTGTGATATGTGAAAAGGTTTGTTAAAATTAAATATTGAATACGATTTTATTGGAATGTACGATTTATGGGGAAGAAAAGATTTTACAACAGTGGAACGATATCGTAACCGAACAAAGCACGTGGTTTATTTAATGAGCCATTGATTGGCATTGTAATTGAATAGCGGTAAACGTGCGATATAAGCAAACTGACATGAACTCGCGATTTGTATTTTTCACAGATTATAATTTTTAAGAAGTAAACGAGAAAATATTTGTTACATTAAAGGTCTGTTGTAATATGCCAAGTCCGTGATTTTTCACAATCACAAACAATTACCCCTCCGATAATAATTGAAATTGTCGTGTCTAGACGAGTAGTTCAGTATTATTCAAAAATAAAGAAAACGAAATTCTTGGTGTAAATCATGTTGACCAAGTGTTGAAAAACTGATGCATATTTCTTTTTTTATTCAGGTAAAAAAAAAGTATGGCAAGCAACAGAGACACACACTCAGAACAGACTCCTCTCGTCAGCCCTGTCTCAATACCAGATGAACTTGAAATCGACCAATCAAATTGCGTATCGCTCTGCTTACCCTGAGCAGAAAATGCTCATTATCAAACTTAGTCAAGGTATTACTGTAATGAAACTATACACCAAGTTTCATCAATCTCACTTAATTAGAACTAAAGTTATCGTGTCCCAAAGCATCAACCAATCAAATTGCTTATCTCTGCTTACCCTAAGCGGAAAATGCTCATCTTCGAACTCCATCAAGGCATTGACCTAATCAACACATACACCAAGTTTGAACATTCTAGCTCAATTAGGAAGAGAGTTATCGTGCCCCAAAGTATCAACCAATCAAATTGCTTATCTCTGCTTACCCTAAGCGGAAAATGCTCATCTTCGAACTCCATCAAGGCATTGACCTAATAAACACATACACCAAGTTTGAACATTCTAGCTCAATTAAAAGTTATCGTGTCCCAAAGCATCAACCAATCAAATTGCTTATCTCTGCTTACCCTAAGCGGAAAATGCTCATCTTCGAACTCCATCAAGGCATTGACCTAATCAACACATACACCAAGTTTGAACATTCTAGCCCAATTAGGAAGAGAGTTATCGTGTCCCAAAGCATCAACCAATCAAATTGCTTATCTCTGCTTACCCTAAGCGGAAAATGCTCATCTTCGAACTCCATCAAGGCATTGACCTAATAAACACATACACCAAGTTTGAACATTCTAGCTCAATTAGGAAGAGAGTTATTGTGTCCCAAAAAGTGTGACGGACAGACAGACGGACAGAAAGACAGACGGACGAACCCATTTTAATAGTCCCCTGCTTTCTTCGAAAGGCGGGGGACAATAACTTATGGTTATTTTATCGAGGACTACAAAAAAGTATCAAATATGAAACTTACCAAGGCTTGCCATAGCTGCAATGTTGATCATGGTAGCACTATTATTACTATTAGTGCTGGCAGCATCTCCTACAGATATCCCACTGTCTGACATTGCTGGACTGTGTGAGTTACGTGATAAGCTGGGATCATGCATTGGATGTGACGGTCCAGTTAAATGGCTGGGAATATTGGCTATCAACGAGGAAAGACTCTGAAGGTTGCCACTCAATGAGACAGGGGGCAATGAGGCCATATTGGACATAAACCCATTGGAAGATGAAGGCATCATGTTAACGTCTTGATTCAACACACCATGTGGTAGGTTAAAACCTTCATTCTCAAACGATGAGTGGAGCGGTGACAACTGATTTTCACGCTGGAAGAAAAATTAGAATCATGTATTGAAAACAAATCAGATCACAAGAAATAAATTAATAATTCATATAGCAAATCATGCAGTAATATCTTCATAATAGAAAAGTTATTTCATTTCAATTTTATAAACAAAAAAAGCAGAAAACCACAATCAACAAAAGGATTAAGAACTTATTTGTTGCCTATTATAAGTAAAATGAAACATTACCTTTGGTTCATCTCGTCCAAAGCTACCAAAATGGTCCTCGACCATTTTTTCAAAGACAGCTGGGTCGGACTTAAATTCAATATTCAAATCAGTTTCTACAGCTGGTGTGTTGTTAATTAAGGACATCAACTGAGTTGAAATAATACGTTTTAAAACAGCAATTTGTAAGGAACTGCCATTTTTCAGTATGTGTTCGGTAAATTTACAGCTGTCCTCTATCTTATCCATCATGTTGTTAACACTGTGACATAATCCCATTAACTCTAATTCATGGTGAGAATGGATTTCATCTAATTCATTAAGAAGTGCAGTCTGTAATACAAATTTTAATACATGTATAAAATATGAAAAGAAACTAAATAAATTTTACAAATGAATACTTTGTAATTATTTCAAGTTCTAACTAGACTCAATCCTACTTGGGATATTTTGAGGATTCTAAAAGAAGAATATTTTTTTTTAATATTGGAAATAGTTAAAATTCATTAGGCTCTTTGTCTTGTGAACTTAAATTTGTGTGTATCCACAATCAATTGAGGGCACCAGGAAGAGGTACAGGCGTATGGGAATGACAACCATCAAATATTATATTTCTAAAAAGTAGGCGTCATTTTATTTCTTTCATAGAAACAATAATCATAGAAGAGTGAAATTATTACGGATAAAAATGCAGAAAGGTCATAATAACAAACAATTGATTTAACGTGGTCTAAATAGCAATAATTACCTTTCTTTTTTCGAGGATAGCTTTATAGCTTTGGAATGTTTCTTCAATGAGACTCTTGGCATCCTCTTGTTGACTTTGCAGTTCAGAGAGGGCGCCCTCAGCTCTAGATGCAGCTGATCTACACGGTTCAAGTTTACTTTGACATTCTGTTACTAGGTTCTCCAAGTCCTTCTTTTGGTCATCTTCGACATCAGCCAGTTTCTCATAGTTGTGATCTGGCATTCTGTGATCATTGACCATACATTCACTACAGATAGGAATCTGTAAATAAAATAACAGTGAAGATGTTAGTTTGGCTTAATAGAAAACCGTCACTACCACGCTTTGATTTTTTAGAAATGGCATCCATCATTCTAAGCATTTTTGACCACTGAAGAACCACCTCACTCAGGATATTGATTAAATGATCAACAGTATTCTTACTATGTTTTGGGGATGAAATTGAACTTTTAAGCATTAAAACTAAACAATAATCAATCTAATGTCAAAACATTTGTTATGTTGCATGTACACACACAGTAACTTCACCCACATGCTCTACCATTTATTACTCACAACTTAACAAGTCTTGAATAAAAAGCCCTCCTGGGAAACACGCTAGAATTAAACAATTCAAGTTTTCTATGCAAAATATGTCAATTCAAAAACTCTACTTTTACAAGTGGGAAACGAATTCAAAATTCAAAAATTCTTGATAATGCCTGAAACCCCAATGATGGAATTATTTGTCTTTGTTGAAAATTCTCCAACAACCATCCCTAAGAAAGGATTTCATTCTTTTATAAATTGTGAATCTGTACAGGCACTCACCTCACATGTGTGACAAAAATACTTCAAGTTTTCTGAAGAGTGAACAGAGCAGAATATTGGCTTGTGTATAGAAAGTCCATCACTACTCTTTAATTCATCAAAGGACAACACCTGAAAAATAGATAGAATTCACATTACATTTAAATTGTTATACGTCCACAGTAGCAAGCTAACCACATCGGTAGTTGCTTTGTGAATCTCAAGACATAACCAAGGGCAATAATAATCACCTGGTATACGAATATGTAATATGGTCTTGTAGCTACTTTCAAGAGCTTAATCTGCAACATTTTATTAAATCATTAAAGTCATGTTTATTCTGTTCATTGAACTGATCATTCTATTCAACAGAAAAGCTTTTTATTTTTAAAAGTCAAGCAGCCTTGACAACTTATTGTTCATGTAGATGACTTAAATAATAGTTACCTTATGATTTTCAAAACAGCGCATAAATTTATGTGCCGTTACACAATTAGGGCAGAGAAAGTTAGCACAATCACTACACCTAGCTACAGCCTTTTCCTTAGCTTTACAACTGGTGCAGACAATTTGCATACTCTCTACCCCGGACATATCCAACATGTCGGACAGCACATGTTCCGTCTGTAAATCCTGAACCCCTTTCATTGGAACCTGGGTGTCCTGCTCGCATACTGTACATTTCACCTTCAACGGTTTCACACCTTCAATAGCCTTTTCTTCCAACTGATTTTCTAGACATGCTTCACAAAACACATGAAGGCATGCAAGAATTTTAGGTTGGGTTAGCTTCTTGGTGCATATTGGACATTGCTGTTGCTCATTTACCAATGTTGGGGAGGAAGATGGGGACTCCTCAAGTTCCAGATCAAGATCGAGGTCAAGGTTAGTTTCTTCTTTGGTTGCCATTTCTCAGTTAACCTGGATAATAAATAAAATAGATAAATTAAATACCTTTCTTTGTACAGTATTAAAATGTGCAGAACAACAATTTTATTCTATAATCATCTAACAATTGCTGAAAACCGAAATTCTGTTTTATAGCACTAATTTATCTTCAACAGGTCTCTTCATTCAGACTAACATCAGAGATTATACGTGCAGACATAATTTATTCCTTATATTTTCATCCACAATTATCATACCTGTACAAGGTACATAAAATATAGTCCTCATTGTTTTATTGATTATAGTCATGATGACATGAGTATGTACAAGTTCAAAACTCTAACTTAAACTGGTTAATTTCTAAACTGTATTAGACAATAATCCCTCATATCACATAACAATCTCCTATAGCATATAATTATAATAGACCTGCATGAGCTCTTGTTCTAAAAATAATTAAGTACCATTAAGCTTTATTAATATATAATAATATCTGCTTAAACTAATCCAGTAATCCTTTCTTTTGTCTACTTTTATGTTATGTTTATACAGGGATCACGATGGCTAAGTGGGTAAGACGCTGGCTCGCTAGTATGGAGGTCGGGTGTTCGATCCCTGCATTGGCTGAGAAAGTTCATCCAGATTTTCCAGTGTGGTTCCCCCTTGTCAGTGATGCAGGACGGAGGGCCTGACAAGGACAGTTGTCTAGTCGTTCGGATGGGACGAAAAACCGAGGTCGCGTGTATACATTGGAATGCACGTAAAAGATCCCTTGACAGTTGGAATTCGATATAAGAGTAGGCTGTAGTGCCACTGTCCGGGCAAAATTTCCCTCATAGCACACTGTATGGCATATGCCCGTCTTCATTAGCCCAGTTCGGAGCAGAACAGTAGGATGTTAAACCCCTTTTCATTTCATTATATTTATACAATTAATTGATGGGCTTTGCCATTTGTAGCATACAAGTAAGTGTCTTAAATACAGGATATCGGATTTACAGACTAACTCTCCACTTTATTAAGCAGTGAACAGAACTAAAGATAAATCCAATACCACACAGATTCTGTAAACTTAAATAATAACTACATGCATCAAACTGACACAATCGAGATTCCTTACAAAGAGAGATGGGGTTTAATGTCCACTCAACACAAACCAGGTCAGGACAGTCATCAAGGGTTGTCACATGTTTTTTCTTTTGTCAGTAAGGGGAATGTTAAACACATAAAATCTTATTACAAGTAATAACCCATTAAGTAATTATAAGAAATCATTAGTATTTGTTTCGATTATTTGTCTCATGACCTTGAACAATTTATATTAACTTTTGCCTCTAGAGCATCCACAAAATTTTTCAAAGTGATCAAGGGTCGTAACTCTGGCAGTAATTATCGAAAATTGTTGAAAATGACTAGCATCCTTTGCCTCATGACCTTAAACACTGTATAAATTTAAAGACAATGGGATATTATCTTTAGCCTCTAGAGCTGAAAAGTCAATCAGGTTTTACATGTAAGTTTAGCCACTAGAGCTTCTACAAGATTTTTCAGAGGTCACAGGCCATAACTCTGGCAGTAATTATCAGGAATAGTTGAAAATCAATGGGCTTCATCGTTTCACAACATTTAACGGTGTGAATAAATTTGAAGTCAATAGGATATCAACTTTAGCCTCTAGAGCAGTGATTCTCAACCAGTGTGATGCAAGATCTTCACAAGTGTGCCGCGAAATTTTGAAAATGTAAATGATAGGTTGCCAGGCAACTAAACATATGCCCACAATGAAACATTTATAATACACTTAAATGTGATTAAGAGTAACAACTTATTAAGTAATTATCAGAAAACCATTAGAATTTGTTTGTTTTTATAAAGTTCTGCCCCATGCTAACGTTTAGTATACAAAACTTTTAATATTATGGATTTAGCTGTTCAAGTCATAAAAATTCATTGAAAATCAATATACTTGTTCGTCTCAAAGTCTTAAACTCTGTGTATCAATCTGAAGTCAATCGGATGATAACTTTAGCCTTTAGAGCTTCCACAAGATTTTTCAAAGTGATCAAGGGCCATAACTCTGGCAGTAATTATTGTAAATCGTTGAAAATCAATATGCTTCTTTATCTCATGTCCTTAAACAATGTGTATAAATCTAAAGTCAATTGGATATTAACTTTGGCCTCTAGAGCTTCCACAAGATTTTTAAAGTGATCAAGGGCCATAACTCTGGCAGTAATTATCGAAAATCGCTGAACACTGACCTTAAACACTGTGTATAAATTTAAAGTCAATCGGATATTAACTTTAGCCTCTAGAGCGTCCACAATTTTTCAAAGTGATCAAGGGTCCTAACTCTGGCAGTAATTATCTGAAATCGCTGAAAATCTATAGACTTCTTCGTCTCATGAGATTAAACACTGTATAAATTTAAAGTCAATCGGATATTAACTTTAGCCTCTAGATTGTCCACAAGCAATTGTGGACGCCGGCCCGAGGGACGGACGGGGGCAATGACAATATACGACCCCATTTCAATGTGGGCGTATAAAAACCATGTGATCACAATTCACTGGTGTCTACTGATAAGTTCATAGCTGTGTTTTTCTTTGTTTAGTTTGAATCATTCTATGTATCTATGACTTACCATGTTTTTATTTTGCGAAATTCAAATATTTTTCACATATATTTAGCCAGGTGTGCCACTATTTTTTCATGTGTTCCAAGGTATGCCGTTGGCAAAACAAAGTTGAGAACCATTGCTCTAGAGCCTCCACATGATATTTCAAAATAATTCTGGCAGTAATTATTGGAATTTTTTGAAAATGACTAGGATCCTTCAACACTGTATAAAATTTAAAGTCAATCAGATATCAACTTTCCCCTCCAGGGCATCTACAAGATACATGTATCTTAAAGTGATCAAGGGCCATTAACTATGGTAGTAATTATCAGAAATCGTTGAAAATCAATAGGATTCTTCGTCTCATGATCTTAAACACTGTGTCTAAATTGGATATTAACTTCAGCCAGATTTTTCAAAGTGATCAAGGGCCACTACTCTGGCAGTAATTATCGGAAAAAGGATTCTTCATCCCATGACCTCAAATACTTTGTATAAATTTAAAGTCATTCGGATATTAACCATAGCCTCTAGAGCGTGCACAAGATTTTAAAGTGATCAAGGACCATAACTCTGGCAGTAGTAATTATCAGAAATCGCCGAAAAAAATAGACTTGTCTCATGACATGAAACACTATAAATTTAAAGTCAATCAGATATTAACTTTAGCCTCTAGAGCGTCGACAAGATTTTTTCAAAGTGATCAAGGGCCATTACTCTGGCTCTAATTATCGCAAACCGTTCAAAATCAATAGGCTTCTTCGCCTTATGACCTTAAATACTGTGTATAAATTTAGTCAATCGGATATTAACTGTAGCCTCTAGAGCGTCCACAAGCTATTGTGCACGACTGATCGTCGGACTGGGGCAACGACCATATGTCACATTTCAATGTGGGTGTATAAAAATTTACATGTACCTGTGCTTACATGTATGTAATGATTGTAACATAGCTGTAGGATGTAGATAAGGTTATAATTGAAGAGCCATCCAAGTACTTACACACTCAGTGAAGAATAGTGAAACACTGGTTGACAATCTAAAATATTTCATTTTCCCTTGGTTGTTTACAAATGAGCCAGTGGCTCAGTGAATGGTGGTGAATCAAAAGCCGGGAGGTCCTGACTACAATCCCCATATTTATTAGATTGTCAGTTTTAGATTCAACTGGCTATTTTATTAACTACCCGTATGCAGTAAAGGAGTAGCATTCAAGTGGATGTCTTAAGAAATATAGCATGATGGAACAGGTAGCACGTCATGTCGGTCCCGCGTCATTTCGGACTCAACACAGACAACCTTTCGGACTTACTTGACAACTTTTTTGACTCTGTCTGGTGATGTTTCAGACTCGGATGAATAATTAAAAGACTGTTGAAAATTTGTGTGATATATTTGTAACAGCTGGGGTTTTTTTTTCATTTTATGTGAGGCTGTCATTTGTTGTGTTTTATTTAATTGATCAGCGATTCATGAGACCGGTGATAAAAAAGATAATAATGCTTGTTCTATTTTGTTTTGTTTCATTGGCGAGTATTGAACTTGACATTAATTTATAAAATATTGTTGAAAATTTGTGTATATTTAGTAATATTGCTAATGTTTTTATAATTGTGAAAGCCTAAATGTCTTTTACACGAGTCGGAATAATCGAATCAACACACGGACGATTGACAACTCGCATTTTTCCTCGTAAACTAAAGAACTGTAAGGTTTCTTTGCACATACTACAATAACATAGGGATTATTGGTTAATCAGCTTTAATTATCCCACTTTGATCGTTGCCATTTATAATATTTTCCAAAAAGAGTTTTCTTTGTAGGCACTAATTTATCGATTGGTACTGCTATCTATGGCAAGCTTGTCGACGAATGCATGTCAATGTGTAGCCTACAGATTATCGTTAACAATTTCTAGGGGCTTGTAGAAACAGTGCATGTCGAGTAAATATTTACTTTTGTTTTTTGTGTAGGTCATTCTGAAATAAATTCTACAGCATATTCTTTTTTTTTTTCAAAATAAATTACTTTTACAGGAAAAAAATGATAATGAACTGTAAGTGCAACTAAATTAAAGTTATATCGTTTCATAAACATTCAACATTGAAAATTTTGCAGTTCCTTGAGAGATCTCTTCAGTGCAAAGATCCACGATTCCACGTGCTGTACTTGATTGCGAGCGGTAAATTTTACCTGCATGTTTATTTTATATAAAATAGCTTTTGGCTCTATACATTTTATTATCAATTAAGGATTGAGATTATTTTCAACATGGGTCCGAAATGCTACGAGTCGGAAATGATGCGGGACCAAAATGACATGTAATCGATGTAACATAGCTGAGAAGGAATCAAGGTAGGTTTGTTGTATATCAAACACAGTTCTATAACTATCAATTAAGGTTTGAGATTATTTTCAACATAGGACACCTAAGTCACACCTTATTACTCAAATTAGCCTCGTTGGTACAGAAAATACAGGATGCTTAAAACTCCAACTCATTATTATATACAATTTGGGAAAGTCATACTTCAGACATGATGCTGGCAGCTTTACCAGACTTGATGTGCGAGTTGGTATTTTACTGTAGTTTACAGTCTTACAATTTTCATCTCTCAATGCCTTGACTCAGCCCATTGGAAATTTTCCTGATCAATAATTTGCCATGTACTCATCTTATTTTTACTACATATCCTGGTAGGACCTACTAAGTAGTTGCCTACTTATACATCTATTTATAATTATTATTATATTTTTGACTGTAGGTCACCACAAAACAGGATCTATATAAAAGTATGACTAAGGAATTTAGGCCAGTAAGGAAGTAAATGATTACTTTCATACCAAACCATGTCCTTGAACTACATGGAATATACATTTGAGACCTACAAATTTATGTCAATTTATGACCAGTAAATCAGTTAATACTGTTAATTAGAACTCCTCTTTTATTGCAACATCACACTATATTTGCCAGGTCTCTGCATTGAATGTCTGCCTGGAAGCACTAACTGTAAATACATCATATGTATCCTTGCATACAAACCACTTCCTCCTCCCAAATGACAACAGCGAACAGGTTGTTTCAAGATGCAGAGCTAGTGTAGTCTGAATGGTGAATATTTCACGCCTAGCTAGCCCTCATTTAGCATTCTACTCTGGAGTGAGCAGTACCGTAAAGTGAAGAAAAGCAATAAGAATTTTGCACAAAAAAATATCGACCAGAAACGGCTAAAACATACATACATTTCAGCTGTGAACTCTGAGTATTCTGCACGCCATGTTAGTAGTGGTTACTGCGAAGAGATAAAAATTCCACCACTTGCGCGCGCATAACCTTGATAAATGAATCCGCCCACGAAACCCGTTATCTATGATTTTTATTTCAATAAAATAATCTATTTCTTGCAATCGTTTTGTAAAAAAAAAAATAACCGAAAAGTCTACATTAGCTTCATGTATGATGGCCATATAACATCAAATGCGTCTCAGTTAAACCCGATTTTTTGCAGACAGACGTCACGATTGTCGTGTCTGCTCGACTGATACTCAAAAAGGTCAACGAAAAAACAGTGGTCGTTCGATAGAAAAATGGAAATAAACCGCATTTTATGCTACTATATTATACTTACATGGAATGCATATAAAGCTTCTTGTTTAAAGCCCTTATAAATGTTATATTTACGGGAACTTTAGCTTGTTTGTTGCATCAAGTAAGCTGCTTCCCGCCATCTTTGGATCGATAAGTTTACTAAAGTTGTTCATGCGCACATCAGCACGTGGCGGGAAAGGGGAACAACCGCATCACAGAAAACCGAAGTGACACTTACTCAAGATTAATTAGAATTATCTATAAAAACTGATTTTTAACTGAACATATCTTTCTTCATCTTATGACCAGAAAATGGAATTATAGACTAAATAATTAGTATAGACCACAAGTTTTGTATACAAGGAATTTCGATGATATCAGTTCACTTAGACAATACAGCTAGTACTTACACAGTTCAACAATAGCCTATTTTTGGACAGCTTTATTTAAAACAAGCTACCCGACTCAAGACACTCAAGAATAGCCTACTTTAAACACATTGAACCACGGATCGCGAAGTCCCGGGTTCGATTAAGTGTTAACCGGAAACGTTATGTACGGAATTTTGTGGAGGACGGGGCCTGGCCGTATGGCAAGGAATAACATCTAGAGTAATCCGGATGGTATGATAGCCTATCCGAGGTCCCGTGTATGCTGGCGTGAACGTAAAAGAACCCTAGACAGTTCTGATTTGTTGAAGCTGTAGACCTGAGCAGTTTCGACACTGTCCTGGCTAAATTTGCCTCATAGTACACTGCATGCGTATAGAGCCTATCATGTCCATTTTCATTAGCCCTGGTATTTCATTCAGTTTCGCCAAAAGCATCCCTTTTATTCAATCTGTGGAACTCCATATAATGTTTTTATTAAGACGCTGGCTTGCTAGCCTGGAGGTCGGGTGTTCGATCCCTGCATTGGCCGAGAAAGTTCATCCAGATTTTCCCGCGTGCCCCCCTTGTCAGTGATGCAGGACGGAGGGCCTGACAAGGACAGTTGTCTAATCGTTCGGATGGGACGAAACATCGATGTCCCGAGTATAGATTGACGTTCACGTAAAAGATCCCATGGCAGTTGGAATTCGATATAAGAGTAGGCCGTAGCACCGCTGCCCGGGAAAAATTTCCCTCATAGCACACTGTATGGCTTTTGCCCGTCTTCATTAGCCCAGTTCGGAGCAGAACAGTAGGACGTTAAACCCCATTTCATTTCATTTTCTTAGACCACCTAAATTCTTACAAACAATCTAATATTTTTTTCAGTTTTAAAAATGATACCCTGGACAAATCTAAATTCAAGACTACTTATTTGGATACGTGCATCGATTCTGTCAAAATGGGGATTGTTAGAATCCAGGGGCTTGTTTCACGTAATTTTAACTAAAGATAAAATCTAAATTTTAGTATATACTTCAATTTTGATTGGCTAAGCACTAAAATCAATCAAATATTATCCAATCAAATTACTAAAATTTGGATTTTATCTTAGTTAAAATTTCGTGAAACAAGCCCCAGATTTTATTGCATAGACATAAAGTATAAGGCGTCTATGCAATATATTACGCAAGAGCTTAATCTGCCTATTGCAGATCTTTCTTTAGGCCTGAAATGTTATCTAAATTATTAATTAGACATTAATTAACTTATCCAGACCATAATCAACTCTCGATAGCATCGCTAGTCTGCGATATTTACTGGATTAGAACCGGATCTGCCGCTTCTGATTAAATCAAAAATTGGATAATCGAGACTATGTTTTTTTTTATCGTACCGACATTACTAATGATGATCAAGGCTAGGCCGAAAATTCAATCGCTAAATACTCGGTTCGGGTGGATCAATTTGAAATTTTCAGTATATTCCCTTTACATTATCTATTTTTTACTTACTATAGTGAGAATTGTCAGCTCTTTATCTAATCTCCCATAATGTATCTTTAATAAAACATACACTATGCAAGAGCTAAATCTGTCTATTGCAGATCTTTCTTTAGGCCTGAAATGTTTTCTAAATTATTAATTAGACATTAATTAACTTATCCAGACCATAATCAACTCTCGATGGCATCGCTAGTCTGCGATATTTAATGGATTAGAACCCGGTCTGCTGCTTCTGATTAATCAAAAAGTGGATAACCGAGACTAGATATAGACCACGGCGGTGTCTCAAAGAAAGGGGTATTCGCAATACTGTCTTGACTGATACCAGTCTGACAAAAGGGGTTGAATGCGAATACCGAATGATGGAATAACATTAGTCTTCAGTAAATATAGATGTTCATGATAGGGTCTAAATATGGTGTTAAATGAAATATGATGAGGCAGAGATGCAATTTTTGTAGCATACTGCAGTGCAAGTTTATCACGTCTGTCGTGCAATGAGGGCTCGTGCGCCTCGACGTATAAACTCTGCACTGGGGATGTTCGGAATGCTCCTAAACTGATTCTAAGTCCCTGGTTGTGTATGGTGTCGAGCTCTTTGAGATAAGACTCGCGGGCAGACCCATACACAATACACCCATAATCGAGTTTAGATCTTATCAGTCCTCGATATAATCTGAGCAAGACCTTGCGGTCTGCTCCCCAGTCAGTGTTTGATAAGACTCTCAATATGTTGAGGGTTTCAGACATTTCTTCTTGAGTGTTTTTATATGAGGGATAAATGATAATTTCTTATCAAATATCAAACCCAAGAATTTTGTTTCCTCTACAACTGGAATGGGACTACCATCCAGTGTAAGCTCCGGATCAGGATGTAAACCTCTTCTTTGACAGAAATGCATGCACACAGTCTTGGATTTCGAAAATCGAAATCCATTGTCAGTTGCCAATCGTTGAATAGAATTCAAGCAAAGCTGCAACTGACGTTCGATTGTCTGCATGCTTGTCGATCCGTAACACATCTGAAAGTCAGCAACATAAAGGGAACCGTCGACCCCGCGTTTAAGGCACGTCGGTATCGTATTTATTTTGATAGAAAAAGTGTGGGAGACAATAATTTACCTGAGGGACTCCCATTTCCTGGGGAAATGGGTCAGAGAATATTGATCCCAAACGTACCTTAAACGACCTATCTTCTAAGAAGTTTTTAATGAAGATAGGTAAGCGACCCCGCAGACCGAGGTTATGCAGGTCGCGCATGATACCATATTTCTATGTGGTATCATAAGCTTTCTCCAGATCGAAAAATATAGCAATTAAATGTTGCTTCTGGATGAAAGCATCCCTGACAAACATTTCAAATCTAACGAGATGATCAAGAGTGCTCCTTTGGGACTGAAATCCACATTGGAGGTCTGTAATGAGGTTGTTGGACTCAAGGTACCAAACAAGCCTTCGATTGATCAATCTCTCCATGGTTTTGCAAATGCAGCTAGTTAAAGCGATCGGGCGATAATTGGTAGGATTCGTAGGATCTTTACCCGGTTTAGGGATGGGAATTATTGTGGCTTCATGCCACGAAGGCGGGATATTCCCATCAACCCAAATCCGGTTATAAAGATCTAGTAATATTAAGAGTGTTGGTAAAGGTAAATGTTTTAAAATCTGGTAATGAATTTCATGTGGACCAGTTGCAGTATCCCGAGCTCGTTTAAGAGAATCACGGAGTTCAGCAATAGAAAACTTGTCATTATAACATTCATCATTACGGGATGGATGATGAATTGAATGAGAAAGTACTGGCCAGAGAATTAGCAATATCAGGAAATGTTGTTAGGGTAGTATTATCAACATTTAGATGGTTAATTGATAATGCACTCTACTTTTACCTTTAATCCTACGAATCCTATCCCATACCGATTTGGAAGTGGTACGGGAATAGATCCTTGAGACATAAGCTTGCCATGAAGACTTCTTTGCTTGGCGTATGGTTCTACGAGCCTTAGCCCGGACCATTTGGTATGCTGCAATATTCTCCATGGAAGGGTGATTCTCAAGGCGTCTTAAAATCCGACCACGCTCTTTAAGAGCGGATTTGCAATCGTTATTATACCATGGTTTATTGAGACGTTTGGGCTTAGTCGTGGTCTTTGGAATCGCCTGCTCAGCTACATCCTGAAGAATTGAAGTGAATAAGGCCATGGGCTCATCTGCATCTTCTAACTCTTTTGCATCAAAAGAGAAGAGACACACAGATTCAAAAAGAACCAAATCAGCCTTATGTAACTTCCACCTCTGCGGCCTTTCAACCGGAGAGGGTCCATTATTATCTATCAAGATGGGCAAATGGTCACTACCACAAAGATCTTCATTTACTCTCCATGTAAAATCCTGAAACAGGACCGGAGAGCAAATGGTTAGATCAAGAGAAGAAAAAGAAGTTGTGGCAAGATGTAGATAAGTAGGCGAGTCATCATTTAATAAACACAAATTATTAATATTAATGAAGTCCGCTATTTGTTTACCTCTGTTATTATCATCTGGACTACCCCAGAGTGAATGAAGACCATTGAAATCTCCCATAATTATAAAAGGGAGGGGAAGTTGTGCAACGAGGTCATCAAGATCTCTGAGGTTCAGATGTAAACTAGGTGGTAAATATACAGAGCAGAGTGTGATAGGAATATGTAGAGTCACCCTCACTGCAACTGCCTGTAAAGGCGAGTTGAGGGCGACTTTACTCTGCGGAATATTTCCATTAAGGAAAATGGAAACACCACCGTGTGCTCTACCATCATCGTTAGGAAAATGATGGTAGGCAACAAAATGTCTGAGTGTTAAGACATCTGAACTCTTTAAAAATGTTTCTTGCAAGCAAATAGCTAAGGGGTTAAATTTTTGAATCAAGATTTGAACTTCATTAAAATTTGGTTTAAGACCACGACAATTCCATTGTATAATGGAATTTGCCATTTTCAGGGAGGTTTAACAGGACTTCTATGATGTTGTTTGGGGTCATGTACTTCAACAACAACATCCATAAGATTGTCCTGTATCCCGAACCTGTTATAGGTTCCGACAGGATCCTCGTCACCCTTCCTACTACGGAAGGTATTTAACTTTCGAGGAACGTCTTTATCAGAACGTTCCTTGTTTTTATTGTTTTTGGGTGGATTTCCACCATTTGGTAGAGGAGTAGGGGGCACAGACTCCCCAGACATATTAACAGTCTGAGTGTTGAGAGATGTATGTACTGGTTTAGGTGGAATCAGAGGTTTTTGATTGGACG